CTACTACTGCTACTGCTGCTGCTGATGCTGCTGCTGCTGCTGCTGATGCTGCTGCTACTGCCACTGCTGCCGCTAACGCCGCTGCCGCTGCTTTCGGCATCGTCTCTAATTGCACTTTTAATCAGGCAACATTCTACATAATTAATAAATCACTGAACGCATCGTGCGTAAAAATATTCCACAGTTCGAATTGTCACGTGACGAGACGCTATACCGATGACGTCACGACGCTGTGCAGCGTTGCCCGAGCGACGCGGATGGTGGCGCCACTGAGCGGTGTTAACATTAACGTTTATCGACGGGTTTGGAATTTTTTTTTTTTAATCTATAAAATTTTTGAATCGTAAACTTTTTGATGCATTTTTGAAATAAAAACATGTATTAAACTACCTCCTCAACTCTAACCTACTGAAACCTTATCTCAAGCTGTACTAAAATGCAAATTACGTCACATGATGTATGCCGTGGTAGTGGCAGTTCCATGTTATACTGTAACATGGTTTGCTATAGCATAATATTCCATAACGTGACTTGTTTTATGTTGCATGGCCAACTATTACATGGTATGCTATTGAATAGTATGCTATTATATGGAATGCTATTACATGGAACGCTATTTTACTGTGTTATTACGTAATATACCATTGCACTGTGTTATTACATTGTATGCTATTATATGGAATGCTGTTACATGGAAAGCTGTTACATAATATACTATTGCACTGTGTTATTACATAATATACCATTGCACTGTGTTATTACATTGTATGCTATTATATGGAATGCTGTTACATAATATGCTATTGCACTGTGTTATTACATAATATGCTATTGCACTGTGTTGTGGTATAATATTATTATATACTGATACGCGTTATTGCTCGAGCGTTGGCGGTCAGCTTTCATGTTCAGCCCGCAGTAGAAACGCTGCATATCGCATGTGGAATACCGACTCACGATGAGTGAGTAAACGCGTAACTACGCTTATACACGCTAGTCCTTGACTGCTCTCTAAACATCGATCATGAATAGAGAAATGTGAGTCTCTCTCTCTCTATCTCTCTCTCTCTCTCTCTCTCTCTCTCTCTCTCTCTCTCTCTCTCTC